AATTTGAGGATCTGCATCGTCCTTACTCTCGGAGGTGGACGATGATAGTGTGGGTTTGACGTCAGATTCGTCTGTGGATTCTTCCCACCTTATCATTTGTAGGATTTCGCAGGGTCCCTGTCGTTGTCGCTCAGACACCGAAGTTGTCCGGAGGGTGAGGCGCATTGGAACGGTGTATGGCTTTCCTCCGGTGTTATTGACGATAACTGCCTGCCGTTCAAAATCCAGCATGGCTCATAAGGCTATGAGGGCTGGGAATCTGACGAGGACATCGTACGTGGTCACGTTTAGGACCACTACGTCGCCTAAGGCGTGGAATTTACCTATTGGAAAAGCGACGTTGGACATCCTTCCTGCAACTCAGATCTTACCTTCATCGGCGGAAACGAAGTGATCGCCCTCCGCGAGAGGAATCATATCTTTCCATTGGCTGGCCCGCTCGACCACATGTAGTGAGATGGCCAGGACCGCGGCCCCGAAATTAAGGACCACGTTGTAGGGGTTTCCCCAGACTTCCACGTCGCACTTCGCGGATCTCCACGGCAAGGCTTTGATCCGTAGGAAGTGATCGTCTTTCCGAATTAGGCCCATCCGGACGGGTTCGAAGGTGCTTGGCTCCTCCAACTTCGAGTCTTTAACGAGAGCCTTTCCTTTTGCGGTTGCCAATTTGGCGAGGGTAAATCGCTTCCGGTTCACTTTGCAGTGTTGTTGCATCCGTTCGTTAGCCTGTTCGGAGATGATTTGCAGGTGTCCGATGGGCAAGGGGATGCGTTGATCCAAGGCACGAACTATATCTAACACATTGATTTCTCCTGTAACGAACGCGCGTCCTCCGGATTCCATTTCCCTCGGGGAGGGCCTCCATTCTGAAACTTCGTTGTCGTCGGGGGCAAGTTGGATGACCCCTATCATGTTGAGGCCCGTGTATCCCAACGATATGTATTTGTCGAGCGGGATAAGCTTCACCGCTTCCTCCGTGACCCCCGACGGGCTTGCCCCACTGGCGGTTTCTTTTACCATTGTGGCCACCCGGCCAGGTCCACCGTGAGACAGTGGGAACAGTCCCGGGCTATGTGCTCGGGCTGATGATACGTGTAACAAACACTTACGTTGGCTGCCGCCGCGCCCACCGCTGGAGCGGGGGCTGCACCTGGCATCATTGGTGCTCCTTTGAGTGCAATGGGGTGCATCGATCTCATCAGTGATTCGATCCAAGCATTGTGCTCGCGTTGTTCCTTTTTGCTTTCTTGCATTAGGCTAACCAGTGTTCAAGTTAGTTCTAGTATCGCATTTGACTCGCTGGGCCTTGCAGGGGCTTCTGGGGGAGGCGGAGGCAAGGCCATGACCGGTAATCCTGAGGTTGTCTCAGGTACCGATCTCTTGGCTGCGACCTGTTCTAGGTAAGTGATCGGTCTGGAGACAAAACCCATATTTTCAAATTTCAACAGAAAAAAACCTGTGTTAATTTTCAGATTGGAGCAACATTTGCCATGTTCGAGCAACGTTCAAATTAACGTTAGTGTTAAAAGCAACATTTCATAGGCCGGTTAACGATTCTCTATGGATGCTATCATGACATAAATGTTGCTCGAGTGTTTCATTAACGTTGGCTAAAGTAAGTACCTAATTGTCAGAGGAGAGGGGCTAGAAGTACAAGGACCTCAGAGAGAGAGAGAGAGAGAGAGAGAGAGAGAGAGAGAGAGAGAGAGAGAGAGCACAAATGGGCAGTGATGAGTAGGAGGAAGATCACGTGGAGTGGCAGCGTGGATAATGACGGTGTTGACGTGCACGGGTACTGGGTATAACGGGATTTCTCATCTTCAGTTGCGGCACATATGCAGTTTTCCCGTCTTTTTGCTGGTGGTGCAGGGCGTTTTCAGGACTGTTGAAGAACAGCAGGGGGACGCAAAAAAAAAAAAAGGGTCCCCCCTTACTGCCCACCAACACCATAAATAAACGAAGCATAAAGAGAAAAGTATCAGTGCAGGTGTGTCGGTAAGGCACACAAGCGGCATTTAGTAGGTCTTGGGTTCAATGATTCAATCCCATAAGTTGTTCTTGAGTGCGGCCAGCTCGGCTTTCGCTCTGGCCAGTTCCGAAGAGTCTCCATCTTTTGCGTGATCCCCGCTTTCTAGAAAGCAAGCAGCGAATTTCCGTTCCATTTCTTCCGCCCCATCCATAATCTGTTGCATCGTATGGTTGATGGGGGGAAATTGCTTCCGCAACTTCGCCCTCATCGCCCGACTACGAAGCCCATCGATAAATAGATCCCTCCCAACCTTTTCATCCCTCTCAGATTTGACAAACAGTCTATACTACATTGCACGGCCGGTCACGGCCGGGGGCAAAAACTCGGCCGAGGCCGTGCCCGGCGGCCGAATCCGCCAGGTTCGGCCAAGGCCGAACGACCGAGTTTGGTGCATGATTTTTTTTTCCGTATTTTTAGGGCAAAAAATATATATATATATGGGCGTGCGGGGCTGAAAAAACCCTGCACGCCCATATTTTTTTTGTTTTTTTCTGATGTTGCTGGTCGCGAAAAAAAATGCAGAATGAAAAAAAAAAAAAAAAAAAAAAAAAGATCCGTGGGCCATTTCGGGTGATTTTCGGCCGTTTTAGCGGTCCACGACCGTGTGGGCCGCAGTGCCGCCGCGGGGCAACTCGATGGGGGAGGCCGGGTCCAGGCCCAGGCAACAGCAAGGCTGTTGCCGTTTCAGATTAATGCAAACATTACTCTGAAACGGCAACAGTTCGTGCTGTTGCCGTTGTGCTGCTCACGGCGGACCCTAGCGCTGTGTGCTGGCA